CCAAAAACAACACTACTAACAGATCTTTATAAAAGTCCACATTGTTGTTGCGGATGAAATATAACATGGATAACATGAAAACTATTTTTTGTCAGATAAAATGTTGATTATTAGTCACTCAAACCCCTTTATCTAAACCTCTCTATTTAACAGTCGGACCCGCACACGCACCATGTTTGTAGTTCTGAACTGAACATCCGGGGACTTCTGGCACACTCTTTTCAACATTTTATGCTTTGGGACACACTTATTGTATCTCACATACTATTTAAGATGGATAGTATGCACATTGGGACGCAGGGTTTACTATCCCATAAGGCCGCTGGAGAAGATTTGTAAATGGCCTTGAAGCGACGCAACTGACGTTGGTAGGTCATGTGATAGGGGCAACAGGGCGAATACGCCCAGATTCACCCTATACACACTTTCATAATATATAGAACATACTACACTCACCGGCCACTTTATTAGGTACACCTGTCCAACTGCTCGTTAACACTTAATTTCTAAGCAGCCAATCACATGGCGGCAACTCAGTGCATTTAGGCATGTAGACATGGTCAAGACAATCTCCTGCAGTTCAAACCGAGCATCAGTATGGGGAAGAAAGGTGATTTGAGTGACTTTGAACGTGGCATGATTGTTGGTGCCAGAAGGGCTGGTCTGAGTATTTCAGAAACTGCTAATCTACTGGGATTTTCACGCACAACCATCTCTAGGGTTTACAGAGAATGGTCCGAAAAAGAAAAAACATCCAGTGAGCGGCAGTTCTGTGGGCGGAAATGCCTTGTTGATGCCAGAGGTCAGAGGAGAATGGCCAGACTGGTTCGAGCTGATAGAAGGGCAACAGTGACTGAAATAACCACTCGTTAAAACCGAGGTATGCAGCAAAGCATTTGTGAAGCCACAACACGCACAACCTTGAGGCGGATGGGCTACAACAGCAGAAGACTCCACCGGGTACCACTCATCTCCACTACAAATAGGAAAAAGAGGCTACAATTTGCAAGAGCTCACCAAAATTGAACAGTTGAAGACTGGAAAAATGTTGCCTGGTCTGATGAGTCTCGATTTCTGTTGAGACATTCAGATGTTAGAGTCAGAATTTGGCGTAAACAGAATGAGAACATGGAACCATCATGCCTTGTTACCACTGTGCAGGCTGGTGGTGGTGGTGTAATGGTGTGGGGGATGTTTTCCTGGCACACTTTAGGCCCCTTAGTGCCAATTGGGCATCGTTTAAATGCCACGGCCTACCTGAGCATTGTTTCTGACCATGTCCATCCCTTTATGGCCACCATGTACCCATCCTCTGATGACTACTTCCACCATGTCACAAAGCTCTAATCATTTCAAATTGGTTTCTTGAACATGACAATGAGTTCACTGTACTAAAATGGCCTCCACAGTCACCAGATCTCAACCCAATAGAGCATCTTTGGGATGTGGTGGAACGGGAGATTCGCATCATGGATGTGCAGCCGACAAATCTGCGGCAACTGTGTGATGCCATCATGTCAATATGGACCAAACTCCCTGAGGAATGCTTCCAGCACCTTGTTGAATCTATGCCACGAAGAATTGAGGCAGTTCTGAAGGCAAAAGGGGGTCCAACCCGTTACTAGCATGGGGTACCTAATAAAGTGGCCGGTGAGTGTATACTCTTTTATACTCTTTTAAAACTTAAAAAGAGAGAATGCTTTTTCGGGCACAGCCTTACGCCGGGTTCACACCGGACGCTGAAGCGACGCGGAACGGAAAATCACGCGCGGTCTGGCGCCTGCCTGTTCACACCAGACGCGTATTCTTCGCGGAGGTCGACAAGCGCTTCTGCTCAGTTGTTGTTTATTCAGAGCTATTTTTTTACATCATGGGTAAGTAAATAACCTCATAATATAAATACACCATGTTTCTGTAACCAAGAAGTTTGTACACTTATTTTATTAATCCGTTGTTGAGACACACACGCAGCCAGAGAGAGAATATGGTAGACAGTTATAGTAGTGTATATATACCGTTGAAATATACATCCTCTCTTCAAATTTATTAAATCTATTTTCCTCTTCCTGTTTCCCAGTGCGAGTAGACAGGAGGAGAGCCCTTGCCCTATAACTTTTGATTATAGGGTATTATAGGGTATTTTAATTTAAAAATTGCTTATATTTTGACAATTGACCGGATGGTCGAGTGTTTCTTGGTGTAACTTCCTGCCGGAATTGACGCGGATCACTCGCGGCTCGCGAAAAAAATAGACCAGACGCCGAAACTGGCGCTTCACGGCGCGTGCCGGCTGCGCCGCATTGCGGCGCTCCGCGTCTGGTGTGAACGACACCATAGGTTAACATGGGCGCCGAAAGGAAGCGGCCTCCGTTCCGCGTCGCTTCAGCGTCCGGTGTGAACCCGGCGTTACTCTTCTTTAACAGTCGGAAGCAAAGCATGCTGGGAATTCGAACTCTGCTGTAAGTCATTCTGTTTGAGTTCTATTTAATATAATCAGTTAATGAGTTCACATAACTTTTTTTCTATTAAGCACAATTAACTAAGTAATGTCTGAGTAAAATGAACTAGTTTCATTTAGTAAATTTGACCAATATGGCTGCTGCAAAAGTTCCCATAGGATTTATCTTGGTTTCATTTTTACATAACAAAAACCAGCTGTTTTAACAGGGGTGTGTATACTTTTTATATCCATTGTATGTTGTTTTTTACACTTGCCAGAAAGAAGCAGAGAAACAGAAACACAAATATTCTTTGTAAAGATTTAAAACCAGTTCAAGTGAATGAATTGGCTGGGCTGCAGGTGTCAGAGCTCAAGAGGGCATGGAGGACAGAGATAAAAAGTTTTTTTTTTTATGTAAAACAGTTTAAGCTTTACAGAATAGGCTAAATCACATAAAGACTAACAAAGACATATCTTAATACAGTAGGTCCTATTTTGTTTAATCTACTGTGAAAATGTAAAAAGTGACTGGCTAGTATGAAATAAGTCTGTAATGTCTACCAAGTTATGTTCTAAAACTGCATTAGTATAGTGTAGATGCTGGCTCTGTGAGTTCCACCCAAAAAAAGTTGTTTAAAATCAACAGGATCTGATACATGTGGACAAGAAAAAATATCTCTTACTTCACACCCTTAACTATTTTTATTTGTATATCTGAAATATCTTGATGTCAAGCCTATCTCCTCCCTGCCCTATTAACTGTGACTTTACTTTTATTTCACTTTGCCCCTATTCTAAAAAGCCTATGGGATTGTATACAAATGCCTTGGTAAGATAGTGAAGCATGAATGAGTCACTGCAGTAACACTGTTCACTCATGGACTCCACATAAATCAAACAATAGCATTTATAACCTCTTCATTGCCCCTTCTATCAAATAAGAACAGAGAGTAATCCAGAATCCAGATAACAAGTGCCACAGCACTTTACTGTGAAGTTGTGAAATAAGCCCATGCTTTTGAGTAATGTTTACTGTAATAATGTGATTAGATAGTTCATTGTAAAGCTGCCAAGTATGGTATGGACAGGAAGTTGTTTACACCACTCATTATTACATCACGTTCAACAATAAAAAGTAGTAAACAATAAAACAATAAATGGATGGTGATTCAATCACACCTTGTGATTCTCACGTGGGCCCTTGAATACCCTAACCTGAAGGGTCACTCATTTAAAAAGAAAAACTCAATTAAAAAGCCATGTAAATCACACTGTTACGCTTTTAAAAGTCTAATTACTAAAGCTTAACATCTTTATGCAACATATATACATTTTGGCAACTTAATTGCACTTGAATAATATACTCCACTCTTATTTGTACAGTAGACGAAACAAGGAAGCAATATGTGCAAGACCCCTAAAGACGTGCATTTCTAAAACAGCAACAAACTAGTGTCCAGCAAAAATGTGCTCCTTAAAGGGATAGTTCAGCCAAAAATGAAAATTAGCCCATGATTTACTCACCCTGAAGCCATGCTAGGTGTATATGACATTCTTCTTTCAGACGAATACAATCGGAGAGCTATATTAAAAAATGCCCTGTCTCCTCCAAGCTTTATAATGAGAGTGAATGGCTGGAGAAAACTTGAAGCCCAAAAAAAGTGCATCCATCCATTATAAAAGTAATCCATATGGCTCCAGGGGGTTAATAAAGGCTGTGAAGCCATGCGTTTGTGTAAGGAAAATACCCATATTTAAAACTTTATAAACTATAATCACTAGCTTCCGACAGACGGTGGACGGTGGACTAACCCCTGACCCAATGCAAAACGTAATGACGAACGCGGAAGCTCAGAGGAAAGAGCAAAACAAAACACTGGTCGTGAATTTTGAAGATAAATGTTAGAGGATTTCTGTATAATAGAAGAGGAGCTTCAGTTTGTTGCACAGCCCTCACTCAAAAAAATGATATGTTGGCTTTAATTAACTTTTTTATGTAACCAGGTTCCATAAATTAACTTTTTTATGTCAACTGGTTCCACATAACTGGGTTACGTTAAACAAACATAATTTGTTCATGTAACTTCAACATCATGGAATTAAGTCATTTTAAGCGACCCAATTAAACTCTGAGCAGAGTGTTAAATGAACACTGAAGCAGTGTTAAAGTTAATGACATAATTAAGTGAATAATTTAGTGATGATTGAGCATTACTGAAGACACCTGATGTTAACAAGCAGAATCACTGAAGGAGAAAACCGGAATTTTAGGTCACCATTAGGTTGATCAGTGTTTGTTTTAGTTGGGCTCTTGACTAGGGATGGGCATTCGATTAAATTTTCTTAGTCGATCGTCGGGAGAATTAACGATCGACTATCGATTAATCATTAATATTTTTTATAATAAAATTAATTATTTAACTTTTAGAATTCAAAGAAAACAAAAATACAGCGTGTTTTTCCTCGATGAGACCTTTATTGCAAAATCAACTTGTGGAAGACAGTTAAACTACGTTCAGTCAGGCAAAATGAACATATATGCGCGTGCATATGCGGTGCTCTAAAGCAGCGGAACCTGCAACTGCGAGCCGGCGTTCTTAAACCGAGACCTCATTTGTTCTAAAATAATAATAATGAAAAATCATGTTAAACAATAACTTAACCAAAAAAACATAATAATACTTAGATCTGATAGGTTTTGTCAAAATGTAACTCAAAACTATCCAAGCCAGAAGAAAGAGGATGAGATAGCCTTCCTAACAATTAGGCTAACTTAACAAATTAGGCTACTTAAAGCCTCGTGAAAAATAACTAACGTTAGTAACTCGCATACAAATTCTGCACCAGTCTACTGATTTTTGTTGAGAAATATTAACATGTTGACATGATCTGGCGTCAGACGCGACCGCAACCTGGTGACCGTCAGTCCTGCAGCCGAAAACACCCGCTCTGCGGGGACTGATGTTGCCGGGATGCACAGGGTAGCTCCGCGCTAACTTGGCCAGCCCGGGGAATCTTAATTCGTTCACTTTCCACCAGTCTGTAGGTGTGCAATTCAGCGGTGGGGGAGTCTCCCTCAGAAAGTTCTGAAGTTCTGCTTCGATGCTTGCCTCGCATTGAGTAGTAGTAGGCCTACTATAGTGATCCCCAAGGAGTTGTGCCATAGCAGATGACTGGGAGGTCGTGACTTCAGTGTTAGCGCTCCCCTCGTCCGTGTCAGACAACGCAGCCTCGACCGCCCCAGCCTGTGGGATAGCCGCCCTATCGGTCCCCTGACTCCCCACCGCCTCTCCCAGTTCAACCAGTTTCACATTAGCAGCCAGTCTCTGTGCTGGTGTAAGAAAGCCCAGGTGCTTGTGACGAGGGTCCAGCATTGATGAGATCATGGGGGCGAATGACACAAACTCATCAGACTCAATCTGTATAAATATATGATGGGAAATCAATAATCAGGAAAAAAATGCTTTTTACAAAACGAAATATTAAAATGATTATTCTTATGGAGTAACAGTTTTATTCTTTGCGGGGCTTGTTGATTAAATCTAAATAGGTAACGAATAAACGAATAAATGTTGTTATATTTTTGTTGTTTATTTTATGAATAAAAAATATTAAAATGAATATTTTATGGAGTAAGAGTAACAGTTTTATTCTTCGCGGGGCTTATTGTTTAAATCTAAATAGGTAACGAATTAACGAATAAATGTGTTATAATAACTTCTTTTTTATGAATAAAATAAATATTAAAATTAATATTTTTATGGAGTAACAGTTTTATTCTTCACGGGGCTTATTGCTTAAATCTAAATAGGTAACGAATTAACGAATAAATGTGTTATAATAACTTCTTTTTTTATGAATAAAATAAATATTAAAATAAATATTTTTATGGAGTAACAGTTTTATTCTTCGCGGGGCTTATTGCTTAAATCTAAATAGGTAAAACAACGCAGATAACAGGAAAGTATCCATGTAATTATGTGTAAACTAAGATAAAAAGATGTAGCTTACATTCATTCGTTGGATGAGAGAGGAACGCACTTTTGTCTTGAACTCGATGAGTCTGGGCCCGTCTCCTTCACTGCGCATGAGGTGGATATTGATGAGGCCGAAGGTGACGGGATAAGTGTTCGAGATGGAGACGTCTTTCTCTGCAGACATAACCGTGGTGGCACATTTAAGTGCTGACAGTACGGGCTGTGTGTCCTCCATCAGCTGCCAGTACTCGTCCTTCAACTCCAGGATCCTGGCATCTTGAAGCTTGGTCACGGTTCGGTCCGACAGCACAGCAACAACAGCCCACCGCTGCTCCACCAGCCGATCAAACATCTCGCACACGGAGTTCCACCGTGTTTTACACGACTGGGTAAGCCGGTGAGTTGCGAGGCCCATTTGCTCCTGTTTCTTTTGCAGCGCTTTGGTTGCTGCAGTGCTGTGATTAAAGTGGCTAACGAGTTTACTAGCCGCTGATATTACCCGATAAAGATACAGTGCAAATCCGTCATTTATGGCCAACTGGAGGGTGTGTGCAAAGCAGGCAACGGAAATCCAGGGCACTCTGGTGTGACTGTTGGCAGCTACAATATTGGCCGCGTTGTCATGAACGCATGCAATAACTCGGCCTTCAAGTCCCCACTGCTCTACCGCTCCATTCATTTTCTCAGCGAGGTGGTCAGCTGTATGCCGGCCTGGCAGACTTTCTGTGAGCAGGACCGCTGAGATCATTTGCCAGTCATCACTAATGTAGTGGCAGGTTATGGTGATGTAGCTCTCAGTTGTTAAAGCGGTCCAGCAGTCTGTAGTTAGAGCAACTCTCTCAGCTTTGCTCAATTCTTTTAACAGCTGCTGCTTTCGTTCTTCGTAGCGAGTTTCTACCAGTCTGGTGATGGTACGTCGTGATGGAATTTGATATGCTGGTTCTAAAAAATGTATCAGTTCTCGAAAACCATTGCCCTCAACAATACTTAAGGGCAGAATATCCATCTCAATGAACTTGCAGATCCCTTGGGTAATTTTCTCTGCTCGTTGTGCATCACAGCTCCGAGTCCGAGCTAACGCCGACTTGATGCTAGGTTGAGACTGAGAGCAGGATGCACCGCCACCGACATTAACCAGGGACGGATGCACTTTGTTTAAGTGGTACATCATTTGAGTCGTGGACGTGTTGTACTTATACACAGCATCGCAATGTTTGCAGTGAACTATTTCGCTTTTTAAATCAAAATGGTCCCACGCCACACTTCGCCGTGACCTCTTCATGATTATTGTTTTGAAATTAAAACGGAAGATCACAGATAACCGAGTAGCCTATATGGTGTGAAATATTGCCCCCGGGTGGTAAAATGTTTAATTGCTGCCACACAGTGAAATTCATTTAATTGCATCAAGACTCACACTACGAAACGCAACCTGCATCAGATTTATATATAAAAAAAAAAAATCATTCGATAATCGATAACAAATTAACGGGATCGACGAAATCCTTAACGATCAATTATCGATCGTCGATTAATCATGCCCATCCCTACTCTTGACCCTCACATTATTAACTTTAGATTATATTTGGCTGTTGTACATGAGTTATAACAGCCAGATGATCAAATAGAAAAGGTGATCCGATGGTGTTGGATGGGTTTTAACATAATCATTATATCACAATCATTTGACCTGAACCACTGAACTCATATAGAACCCAATTTCTGAATTAAGTTTACTTTATGGATTATAGCAGCACTGTCATTGTAGAGCATACCATTTTTAGCCTTTTCAATTAAATCCAAATGATCAAATCAATAAAAAGTAAACAAAGAGGAACTTCTAAAATAAAATAAAAATTAGGCACACACAGACATCAAGATTCAGCCTGTGAATCTCAACAATGGTGACACTTATAAAGCATGTTGCAGTTCATTCTGGGTGCCATCAAAACTCATTCATGGCTCCCATCATGCATTGCTGCATGAATAAATAATGAGCTTAGGGTGATCTGTTTGTCACCATTGCTGAGATTCATACGTTAATTCTTGCTGTCTGTGTGTGCCTGCATACATTTGTTTTTTAGAAGTTTTTTTTTAATTGATTTGATTATTTGGATTTCATTAAAAATGCTAAAAATGGTATGCTCTACAATGATAGTGCTGCTATAATTCATAAGGTAAACTTAACTCAGAAATTGGGTTCTATATGAGTTCAGGTCAAATGATTGTGAAATAATGATTATGTTAAAACACAACCAACACCATCAGATCACCTTTTCTATTTGTTCTTCTGGCTGTCATAACTCAAATACAGCAGCCAAACAAAATCTAAAATTAACGATTTAAGGGTCAAGAGCCCAACTAAAACAAACACTGATCATAATAATGGTGACCTAAAATTCCGGTTTTCTCTTTCAGTGATTCTGCTTGTTAACATCAGGTGTCTTCAATAATGCTCAATCATCACTAAATTATTTACTTAATTATCTAATTAACTTTAACACTGCTTCAGTGTTCATTTAACACTCTGCTCAGAGTTTAATTGGGTCGCTTAAAATGACTTAATTCCGTGATGTTGAAGTTACATGAACAAATTATGTTTGTTTAACGTAACCCAGTTATGTGAAATCTGTTTACATAAAAAAGTTAATTAAAGCCAACATATTTTTTGAGTGTATTTGTTTAAACCGCGAGATGTGTCTAAGCTTACGATACTCCTACGTCATACATGCGCCACGGGTTAGTCTTGTGGCGCAAGTCGACTTGCGTAGTATGCGTACGGTCGTCTGGCGGAAGCTAGTTATTTTAGATTATAAAGTTATAAATATGGGTATTTTTCTTACAAAAACCCATGGTTTCACTTCTGAAGGCTTTTATTAACCCCCTGGATCCATGTGGAGTATTTTTATCATGGATGGATGCACTTTTTGGGGCTTCAAATTTTCTCCAGCCATTCAAGTCAAGTCAAGTCACCTTTATTTATATAGCGCTTTTTAACAATACAGATTGTATCAAAGCAGCTTCAAAGTGATAACATGAAAATAATACAACAAAGTTTGTTTCTAGAAGAAAATTGTGTCATCGTCCACCTTAAGTAAGGCAAATCAATAATATAGTTTATTAAAGCTGCAAGCAGCATTTAGCGGTGTTCAAGCAGTTAAGGCCTTTAAGGCCGTTAAGCACAAAAGCATCAAAAGACATTAAGTTTTATTAAGCATACATTTAACCACTGACATAATAGATGGAAAACACCATTTAAAGCCAATACAGGCAATTTACCATAGGAAATATATAGTTTTAAAGCTTTTTAACAGTTATAGCGCCACCTATGGTCCAATCTCCATAAAACTTTGCATGCTTGTTAATGATGTTATGTCACATATGCTCATCAATTTTTGTCAAGTTCTGAGTTTTCATTTATGATTTATAGGCTTTTGAGTGTATTTTGACACGCCCCTTTTCTAAATGACCCTGTTACAGTGAACCAAAGGGCAAAGTTCAACTTTTTTTTGATAATTATTGATCTAGAGAGTCCAGAGAATTGTCCTAGACTGGTCTGGTTTTGATCGGGCGAAAAACCAGGGACTAGTTCGCAAAAGTAGGTTTTTAACATATTCGTGAATATTTAATGAACGATTTGATTGACAGCAATGGTTCTAGAGGCAAAGTTGTTCACCATGAGGAGATCTATCAAATGATATGCATTTTGGGGGGATGTGTACAACACCACGTGATTACAGAGCCGTAAAACTCGTTAGCGCCAACTAGTGGCCGATTTCTTTCAAAACTCTTACAGACCTCTTAGGCCATGAGTCGAACATGCCCATCGAGTTTCGTTCCGATTGGCCTCTGTTAACCTCGTCTCAAATTCATTGGTCAATGGCGGCCATGTTTTTTGAGATACGTCAATGTCCTCATAGACATACATGGGGCCTTGGACCAAGACACTGCATACCAATTTTCAAGTCAATCGGACTAACGGTCAGTCCTTTATATGTTTTTTTCATGTTATAGCGCCACCTAGTGTTCGATCATCGCGATTTTTTTACTGTGACCTCAGATTGAACTCATGCACACGTGTACCAAGTTTGGTGAGCCTATCTAATTTACTTCTGGAGTTATAGCCATTTTAGAAAAATAGGCTCCTCCCACAACGTTATTTTTGCGCCCCCTAGCGACCGGAAATCGAAATTTCAACTTTTTTTCGATTATAATTTATGTTCAGACTCCACAGAACATTTGTGCACTGGTTTGGTTCCGATCGGGCAAAAAATCAGGGACTAGTTTGCAAAAGTCGTTTTTTGACAAAATTCAAAATGGCGGAAAATTTATCATGACGCAAATGAAATCGGAGATATACGTTTTTTAAGTCAGGAGTCCAGCTTTCCAATGATATAAGACACTTGAGTCTACGACTTACGGTCTAGGAGTTATGAGCAGTTTTGCGCAATTGGTTGCTATAGCGCCACCTATGGGCCAATCGGGCTCATAATTTGATAAGCTCTCCTCGATTTTTGTACTACCATCTGACAAAGTTTCAAGTCTCTAGCATTTACGGTTTGGGCTGCACGATGCGTTTTACGGCGGAAGAATAATAATAAAAATTAAAGCTGCAAGCAGCATTTAGCGGTGTTCAAGCAGTTAAGGCCTTTAAGGCCGTTAAGTACTTAAAGCATCAAAAGACATTAAGTTTTATTTAGCATACATTTAACCACTGACATAATAGATGGAAAAGACCATTTACAGCCAAAACAGGCAATTTACCATAGGAAATATATGTTTTTAAAGCTTTTTAACAGTTATAGCGCCACCTATGGTCCGATCTCCATAAAATTTTGCATGCTTGTTAACGATGGTATGTCACATATGCTCACCAATTATTGTGAAGTTCTGAGTTTTTATTTAGGATTTATAGGCTTTTGAGTGTATTTTGCCACGCCCATTTTCTAAATGACCCTGTTATAGCAAACCAAAGGGCAAAGTTCAACTTTTTTTCGATAATTATTGATCTAGAGAGTCCATAGAATTGTCCTAGACTGGTCTGGTTCCGATCAGGGAAAAAACCAGGGACTAGTTCGCAAAAGTAGGTTTTGGACAAAATTGGCCATAACAAATTTTTTTTTGCTCAAATCGAGAATCCGAGATATATATCTTGTCCGTCTTGAGCCAAGGAACACAGTGGTGCAAAAAGCTTGATTCCAAGTCAAACGGTCTAGGAGTTATGAGCAATTTAGTACTTTTGGTTGCTGTAGCGCCACCTATGGGCCAATCGGGGTCATACTCTGATAGGTTCTCCCCAAACTGAGGCCCTAGCACCTGGCCAGGTTTCAAGTCTCTAGGCCTTACGGTTTGGGCTGCACGATGCGTTTTAGGTTTTTTTTTTTTTTCAAATAGCAATTACAATAGGTTTTCAGCACTTCGTGCTTGAACACCTAATTAAAGCTGCTAGCAGCATTTAGCGGTGTTCAAGCAGTTAAGGCCTTTAAGGCCGTTAAGCACAAAAGCATCAAAAGACATTAAGTTTTATGTAGCAAGCATGATTTACCATGATATACTACATTTCAGTGTGATTTTTCATGATTTACCATGTTCCAGTATGATTTAACATGAATCTAACATGATTTTCCATAGTTTACCTTGATATACCATGTTATATGATGATTTACCATGATATAGCACATTCTAGAATAATTTACCAGGATTCTAGCATGATTTACCTTTTTTACTATGATTTACCATGTTTCTGGCATTATTTACCATGATTTACCACGTTGATAGCAATTATATGAAGCATAAGAACAATTGAAGTGATAAACTCTGACAAAATATGAATGTGTTATAAGAGTAATTGTTATATAAGTGATTTTATAGTGTCTATACAAAAAAAAGACTATTAATAAGAAGAGTGGCCAGCAGAGGGCAGTAGAAGACCACTTATTGGCTCACTTTCATTTTCAACTACTTTGTTTCTCCAGTATTCTCCACTGAAGCAAACCATTTTTTTCATGTTAACTCCATAATGCATGCTTACACACACACACACACACACACACACACACACACACACACACACACACACACACACATTTTTGGGATATGTTATTGTAAAAATCAGTTTTAATGGTATATGAGCATTTCACATATTTCTTTGCAATGTAATAATATAAAACTAATTAAAGAAAATGCTTTAAGCATTTGTTTGTTAGCCAATGCTGAAAGCTGATAAAAAAAGATTAAAAATGTCTAATGCTGCTGCTCCATCTAGTGGACAACAGTGCTATT